GGGATTTGATTTGTCTATAAGTCATGCAGAGTGTAGTAACTTGCCATTTAGATATGGCAAGTAAAGACATTTCAAGCTCTTAATTTAGTAGATAGAAATAAATATCTTTTCCATTTAAGTTTTACTAGGGGGAGAAGGACTCTCCTTAAAAACAAAGTGAGCCCATGGTAGAAAGGGTGATTGAAGTTATAGGGATGAACAGTGTCTGCAAGAGAAAAGGAAGCATAAACAAAGAGATCTCCGGTGCTAATAAATAATGTGTATTGAGTATTATTTTATAAAAGTAAATAAAGCAGACATACAAACCTTAAACTTTTTCTGCTTCATTGCAGTCCCGCTAATCAACACGGACAGTGCCTGATTCTTCTAGGAAAACCAAAGACAAATGACAATGAAAGTTATAATACTTCTGAACTAATAAGTAGTAATTTGGATTGAAAATAATTTATGGCTACAGTTGGCAGATTTGCTTGCTAGAGTTTTGAGTCATCGATTTCCACTTGGACATTGAGCCATTGACTGTAACTCTTTGGATGTAGCCATCTAGATAAGTTGTTAACCAGCTAACAGTCCACCTTTCAAACTCATATCCAAATTAGGGGTTGGAAAGTTGTGGGGAACCACATCAAAGGCCATGCAGATGTCTAGACACATGACATGTGTATCTCCTTCCTTCTACACTGGTTCAGTTACTTCACAATAGAAGGCTATTAGATTAGTCAGGCATGATTTTTCCTTCATAAAATATGTTGCTGTCTCTAACTATCTCCCTGACTTCCATATGTTTCAACAAATTTTCTGGGAGGAACTGTTCCATGATCTTACGAGGTACAGAACTGAAGCTGCCTGGTCAGTAGTTCTCGGGATCTGCCCTCTTGTCCTTTATGAAAATGGACATGATGTTTTAATTTTTCCAATTACTAAGGACTTCACCTGACTGTCATGACTTTTGACATAGGAGGGAGAGTAGTTTGGCAACTGCATCAGTCAGTTCCATCAGGACCACGGGATATATCTTCTAAAATTCCACAGGCTTACATATATTCAAGTTTCCTGTGTGTTCTCTAATCTGCACTTCACTTATACTTGATCTTCACTTATGATGGAAAGGACTTCAATCCCATATTCCCTGACTTATGATTCATCTTGAGAGATGTTAGAAGAGTAATTACCACTGAAAAAGGAGTCAAAAGTATTGCTGAATGAATCAGCCTTTTCTATACTGGTTGTCACTGTTTCTCCTGGTGTTTTAAAGGCAGTCAAAAATACAATTCCATTCTACAAAGAATAAAAGTTGTATTTATTCAGACCTTTTCAGATACCATGGAAAGTTACAACATTGAAATTTCTTCTGGAATGTATCCTATATAGAAGGTTTTTTCCAATGTTTTTATATGTGTACAAAACATGTTTTGTTTCATTTTACAGATGCTTTAATAATAATTTAGTGTTTTGCTTCGAAAAAAAAGCAAATAAATGTAAACTTATTTACAGTGATAGAATAACCTTTTTTTACATTACTTTGTCTTATATGTATCTATCTTAGAAGCATAGAACCATGGAATCTCAGAAGAGGTTGGCTTGGAAGGCACCTTCAAGATAATCTAATTCCAAATCTCCCATGGAATGGGTAAGGACACCTTCCACTAAACTCTCTCAGCCTGTCTTCATAGGAGAGTTCTTCCAGCCCTCTGGACACACTCCAACATGTCCATATCCTTGTTGTGTTGAGGACCACAGAGATAGATGCAGCACTCCTGATGGGGTCTCATGAGAGGAGAGTAGAGGGGGTAATCGCCTCCCTCAACCTACTGGCCACACTGCTTTTGTTGCAGCCCAGGATACAGCTTGGTTTCTGGGCTGCAAATGCACATTTGCAACAACACTTTCCCCTCAGGGCTGCTTTTAATCCATTCTCTGCCCAGTCTGCATATGTGCTTGGGATTACCTTGACCCATGTGCAGGTCCTTGTACTTGGCCTTGTTGAGCATCATGAGGTTCACACAGACCTATCTCTCCAGCCTGTCCAGGTCCCTCTGGATGCTTCCCTTCCCTCCAGTGTGTTGACTGAACCACACAACTTGGTGTCATCAGCAAACTCGTGCTTGATCCCACTGTCCATGATGCTGAGTAAGATGTTAAACAACACTGATCCCAACACTAATCCCTGGGAATCACCACTGGTTTCTCCTTGGACATTGAATCATTAACCACAGATCTCTGAGTGTGGCCATCCACCCAAATCCTTATCCACGGAGTGATCCATCAATCAAATCTGTGTCTCTCTAGTTTAGAGCTAAGGATGTTTTGTGTCAAATGCATTGCACAAGTCCAGGTAGATTATGTCAGTTGCTCTTCCCTTATCCACTAACACTGTAAGCCCATCACAGAAGGCCACCAAATTTGTTAGGTGCTGTTTGCCCTCAGTAAAGCCATTAAGGCTGTCAGAAACCACCTCCTTAATTTCCATGTGCCTTAGCATGGATTCCAGGAGGATCTGCCTCATTATCTTATCAGGCGCAGAGATGAGACTGACTGGCCTGTTTCAGCCCTCAAATGTGTGCAACCTCACAGGCACAATTGCTGCAGAAATCTTTGAGGCACTTAAAATGCCATGTAACTAAGTAGGAAGAAGTAACTGTTCCTCTCTCTGCTATTCCTATGGGGAATGTAAAACAAAATGTTTGTGAGCACTTCTAATTTACTTGTAAAAACTCAATTTTAACACCTTCACCAGTAACAAGAAATCTGGATGTTTTCACACAGAAATGTGTGAGAAGATGACACACACTTGTAAAAGTGAACAATAAGAGTAGTAAGTGTTGGTGATGGGATAAATCATGTAAATGGATGTTAGGGAACTGAAAACAAGATAAATTTGTGTGGCATGATCTTAACAGATATAAACTGTCTTTGCTGGCTGGTAAATCAACCCAAAAAAGTGCTACAAGCTTATGTCTCTAAATAGCATTTAGGTAAAGAGGATCCCTTGAAATTATAAGTTAAGTTTACACTGAAACAGATTTCTTGAAGGTGTAATCACAGCTGTAAGCTTTCTCAAATAGAAGTGCAAAAGATTGTGGCTTAGCTCCAGTTTTCCACATTTTGTTTCTTGTTATTTGGGATTTTGAGTGCGGTTTTGTGTGGGTTTTTTTTAGTTGGTTTTTTTTTTTTCATTTGTAGAGAGAATTATTCAATATAGTAAATTTCATTCTCATGTTTGTGTACATCTTGACATACCTGAGACATAAAGAAAATCTCTGCAATGTATTGAAGGGCAACACCCTTGAATTTCTATCAGGAAGAGCAATCATCAATAGCTTAGATTACAGTCTTTGCTTTGCTGAAATGGAATTTTAATTAGGGAGGGATAAAAACATTTTATTCGCTATTTGAAAGTCTTATACATAAAACATCGCTTTTTAGCTGTAATATTCAATTCCATACAAGATGTTTAGTAGCTCTTCTTATGACTCCAAAACATCAGTTTCACATATATAGAACATCAAAATCCTTGCTTGCTTCAGGTGGATTTTTCTGTTATCACTGCTCCCAGAGTGGCCTGTTAAGCTGGATAAATATGTTATCTTTTTTCCAGAGCATAATAGAGTTGTTAGAAGTGATATATAAAAATTACTGTCTAGAAATAATCCATTTTTGCAAGGCACATGAAGAAGAAAAGACATCAAGAGCATTTGCAGGTAATTAAAGTGGCTTGTGATTTTATTTTTTTTTTTTTTTTTTTTTTTAAATTAAAATACCCTTCATTCTGTGTTTGGTACTATATGTCTGCAATGGCAATCCACTGCTTACACATCTGTAACACTATTTACAATAGTTTTGCCATTCCTTATTCTTCTGAATCCAGTTATTCAAGATTGTGAGAAAATGTTTAACATATATTCTGGTTAAATAAAGTCCCTCCCTTTGTATGCAAATGCTGAATTTATTAATTCTGTATACATGCATTTCTTTCAATCTTATCTTTCTTCCATTACCTGGTCTAAGAGCTGATATTCACTGAAGCAAATTCACCTTGGAATGAGTTAAATATTTCATAAGCTTGATTTAATTGCTGTCATTTCCAATAGCTTCTCTACTCAAGGGACACTCTTTTTATAGGAACTCTATTGGATTTTTAACTGTCAATAAAATTTTTTTAGACATCATTAAGTTAGATTTTAAGGGTGAATGAACCTCTGGAGTTTTTCTCCTGTTGGCTGTTAATTTCAAATCTGCAATATTTATTCCTCTTCCAAATCTTAGATTCAGTTCAGGCCTAATAAGACAAACAATGGTAAAGATATATGTACACCTTTAAATTTTTTTATTTGTATGTCAGTCACCATTGTGTATTCTGCTATGGATAATTGTTTTCATGCATTTCAACATGTAAAACTGAGAAAAAATAATAGTTAAAGAGATTACATGACCTAATATTAAAAATTATGCATCAATATAATTTTGATTACTGCTTTCTGTCTATTATTTGGTTTAATCATGTTATAAACTCTTTACTAAAATGAAGTTTAAAAATGCCTTCACTTATTGTGTGTCGTTCTTGTGACATACAATCTTGTAAGATTTTTCAGTAAGAAAATATCAAATGCTATTAAAACTTGCAATTAAGTCCAAGTTTCTCTAACTCCTTTGGAAATTATTAAATTAAATATAATTTCTAATATTTCTGAGTTTTCCTTGTGTATGTGTATCTCTGTTTATATGTACAGATTATAAATTGAGCCATAAATACATTTAACCAAAAGTTCAAGCAACAAAATGAAATGATAGTACATTTGTTCACACCTGCAACAGTATGAAGAACATACAGATTTGCCAAACAGCGAATAAGTGATCTTATCACTTCAAAAAGAGCACTAAATCTGCTGTAGGTGAAAAACAAGTAGGACAGTCTCAGGGAAAGGCAAGGAACATATTTAAATAAAGATTCCAATTGGTATTCTTCTGAAAAAATTTTCTTGCTAATTTCTGACCATACAGGCAGATGATTACAGTCTGATTTAGCATCTAAGAACAAAAATATGTTACTTTCTGTAAAGTCAGGTGGTGTTACCTCCTGGAAAATTTGACGGTTCTATTTTCTGATAATTCACAACAATTTTAAGTTATTTCAATGACCTTTTAAGTATGATACAGAACATAAATTAGTAAAAATAGTTCTATTTTCTTCCCCATTGTTTGACAAGTGCATCAAATTATTTACTGATATAACATGGATATGAGTCTTTGTACTCAAAGAATTGGTCTGCGTATAATGCATGTGCAGAATAATCTGCAAGTTGGTTTTACAGTAAAGAAAAATTTAAAAAGTTATTATAAGTTTCACTTTTTCAGATTTGATCTTAGGATATTCAATCAGAAATGGATACCCAAAAACATCTAAATCGCGTAAGTCGCAGTGTTTTCTGTTTTGATAAAGAATCTCTTTCTAGTCTTATATATAATCCATTTTAAATGTTGTAGAGATAGCTATAAAGAATATCATATGTCCTATAAAGAAACAAAACATTGAAACACACACCAGTGGATGTGTCCAGCTGGAAAGTCAAAGGGTTTTGGCCTGATGAAAAATATAGGAATCACATAATCTGAGTGACTGAAGTTTCCTGTGGTCATGTACATGTTTTGTTGGTTCTGGACCTTTCCTGTAAAATCAAATCAAGTGTCTTTAGTGTAAGTAAGGAAACCAAAAATACTGGGCCAAAACCTCTGAATGCGAAAAATTGTTTGGCAAGTTGTACCTGTAAGGTCTTGTGGAACTTCTTTGAGGAATGTAGCTCTCTTTAGCAAGTTGTGTGGCCCAGCAAGGGTGTGTTTGTAGAGACAAACAGTTCTCACCAAGAATCTGATGACTACATTATGTGTGTCTTCCATAAAAGTTAAATTTGGAATGGGATTAGACTGATGAGTTGGACTGAATACCCTTTAGCAGTTGAAGTGCATTAAGTACTATCCTGAAATGAACCTTCTGTTTTAATTTTGTCAAAAAGAGTCCAGTTTGTAATCTGAAATGTCTGAAGTTTTCATGAAATAGAATTGTTGTGTGGACTCATGTCTCAAGGTTCATTTTAGAATCTAACAGAAGTTGTGAATCTCAAAAACAGTTCATCTGCATGTATACAATTTCTCTGCTTCTCAACTCGCTGTGTTCTGAGAAAATGTTTTGAACATTTTTGGGTATCATAACAATTCTAACAGGCATATATGGGGCTGACATATTAAAACTATGACCTAATTTTTTTTTTTAAGAAATATAAACAGATTCTGTGTGCCAAACATCTATAGTTTTCATCCACAAAATTATTATACATTCAACAAATAATTCTTATGTTCATGAAAAAGTATCTTTTTTTCATTAGCTTTGCTTCAAATCACATTATGAATTGATGTAAATTATATAGAACCATAATAAGTAATAGAAAGTCATTTTATATCATGGTGACAAGTATAAATAAATAAAAATTTCATACTAAAATTTAAAAATAATTGACTGAACCAAAGTGTGAAAAATGAGTACTGAAATAAAAGTCAAAGTAAAGAAAACAAGTTAAAAAAACCCAAACACACCAAACCAAGAAAAAAACGCCCCTCCCTCAGAAGGGACTTAAATACTTACAATACAATAATTGTAAGTTTCTCAAAAGCAACTTTAAAAACCCTTTAAACCTTTTCATGATGCATATCTACAATGAGACCCATGACACCCTTCTCTTCCTTCCCCTCTCTTCACTGCTGCTCTCTTTCCCTTCCGTCTTCCTCCCTCTTCTCACTATATGTAAGTTTTCTACCAGTCCATCACCATACTATTTGAGAACCTCATGAGAACTTTTGAAAACCCAGTGCTTATTTTATAATTACTTTAGGCATAGAAATATAGAAGAAAAACTAAAGAAAAGAAAGGTTCAAAATAATTAACATTCAAAGAAACTATACTTACTGTATAAATTGTACCAGAATTAGTTACAGCAATCTCTTCCAATACTGATAACTACTGAAATAAGAAACATTTTAAGGAAGGAATAATTTGAAATACAGAATGTACATTGAAACACAACATGTGTTATGTAAATCATATACCACTTCATATAATTACTCCCACACTATTAAACATAAACTGTAGTTTATTTCAAGCTTTATCCATTCCAAGATGATATGCAGGTCAAACTGTATTAAAAATGTGTGAGTGTAATATGTTTCAGCTAAACAATTAACTGAAAATTGGAGCTTGTTAATTATTTCCACTATAGAGAGAGATTGATGATGGACTTCATCGTGTAATACTAAAATTTTTGCAGTCTTCACGGTCAAGTTATTAATTCTCTCCTTGTTATCTTAGGGTTTGCTCCTTTTTTTTTTTTTTTTTTTGTCCACAGAGATTCAAACCATCGCTGTACCTCTGTCTGCATGATGCCCAAAGTACCAACACCCATCACAGACTTATGGATGGTTCGCATAGTAAAATTCATGGAAATCTGGAAGCATAAGTCACAGGAAAAAATGTATTTGAGGAGACATCAGAGATCCAGATTTTTTTCACGTGCCTTGAACACTCATTGTTGTGCTTCTTTAAATGTTGAAGGATAGCTAGTGCTGTTCTGAAAATATGACATCATCTTATTTTGGTATTCTATGAAAAGACAAAAAATAAATTGGGTTTGGAACATAAGTTCCTATTATCCTGAGTAATTAATTCATATAGAATGCCAATATCATTTTCATATTATTTCTCAAAAATAGAAGATATAAAGTTAGCCATCTCACAAGCCCTTCATGGCAATACTTCATCTCAAATCCAACTGTGATGGGAACCAAAATAACATTACTTATATGACTCTAGATAGAAGGAACTTAAATATTTCACTTAAGAGTAGTTATGTGGTGATATTCCACATTTTCAGAGGTTTTTATTTTCAGAAGAGCATTGCACAATATTTTAGGAATAAGATACAAGCCTTCTTCCAATCGCTAGTTTAGCCAGAATTATTCTGTCCCTAAACTTCCCCATGGAAACAAACCCAAACGCTTGTCTGTTTGTTCCTGCTGTTTGAAAACCAGTGTGTACACAGATACCACAAAACCAATCAAATGCTAACCTTAATTGCTGTGAAGATCTGTGAAATTACTTGGATAACAAAGCTCATGTTCTATTATCTCTTGTTTATAGACTCTGTTTTGTGCATTAATGCCTATTGTTCTATTTTCTCACAAAAGTAATTTGATTTTTTTTGGTTTTGTTTGTTTGATTGTTTGTTTGTTTTAGTTTAAATTTGTCATTAAAGAGACCAAATGTTTTACTCAGCAGCTTTCTTATGGTTTTATCCAATTCTTAGCCCCAAAATAACAACAGAAGAATTTACACTAAGGAAAAAAATGTTCTAAAAATAAAATATCAGCAGAAGCATAGTGAGAAGACAGAAGAATTAGACTGAAATATTTGGACATTGAGGTTTATTCTTGTCAAAATTCTATGTTAAAATTGATAGATTAAGACCAATTTTGTGGAGGTATGGAATTCCCAAGAAGCTGACTTAATTTTTACTAGCAATACAGTCCATGGTTAAGACAAGATAGAGAATGATAGCTACCAGCCAAAGTCCATATAGACAAAGACTAGAGCTTTCTATATTCTGGAAACAGTAAATATTAGGAATTAAGCATGCTTATCTTTAAAATGACATATGCCATTCAGAGTCACACTGTGATTTGTATTTGAGAGTATGAGAAAACAGATTAAACAGATCCTGTATTAGATCAATTTGTATAATTGGGGAAAAAAAAGAACAAGGTGACCTCCTAGGTTGACATGCTCGTAGTCTGCTTTGTAATAGAAGCAGCAACTTCTAGAGGGACCAAAAGGTTTAGGATAGTTGCTTTAAGTACAATATGATGCTTTTCTACAGAACAGTTGAGTAGAAAGGACAATAGGCAGCTGTAATGCAGGGGGTAACAGTAAAGCAGGTGAAAACCATGTTAAATTTATATACAAGAGAGAAACAGGCATCAAACAACTTTACTTCCAGCACTTCAGGGATGGGACAAATGCAACATAGAGAAGTTCTTATATCCTGAGCCCATGACTGAGGATATTCAATTCATTTGTGCAATTGGAAAGGAGCTTTGAAGCTGTCCCTTAAGAATCTGTAGTGTGAGATCTGGGTAAGTGGTAGTCTTGTGAAAACTATTGCTCACCTAGGGGTAATTATTTGGTTTATTCTTTATCAGAGGTCTGTTTGAGCTCACTTCAGTGTATTGCAGTTGTTCAACTTCACCCATCTAGATATCTCTGAAGGACCTACTCTAGGAGAGTGCCATTTGAAAAGTAATAGGGGAATCTTGAGCATGTATTTCAAGATACAAATAACATTTCTTTAATAACTCTTAGCTTTTGTTTTAGCTTATGATGGTATGTGATTACTAGGGGTGTACTATCAGCGACACTTTTTGATTTTTGTGCTAAATTTTCATATATTTCTTTCAGAGGTCATTCAAAGATGCAGTTTGGAAAATAGTTTGGTGGTGCAGTTTTCTTTTACTCAGATGAACTGGGTATATCAAGCAAATCTTTAATGGCCCAGTTGTATATCACAGCGTTTTTTATGGGCTTTTTTTCAGGTGTTTACTGGCTTTTCTAATCTGTGAGATATGTAGTAGTTTGTAGGAGCAGCTTGTAGTTTATCATCTCATGATGCCTCTGGTGTCTAAATTAATAGCAAGGAAGCTGCAGCTGGGACCGATGCAGGAGCATGTCAGAACTGGATGATGGAGAGATGGTAGATACAGAATTCATGATAAAGATTGGTAAGTCAAGGTTAACACAGTTGTCATTTAAGGATGTAAGCTAACTAAAATATAGTTATTTAGATTCAGTTCCCTTAAAAATGTTAATGACATTGAAGGAATATTATGAACTACTTATGTGCGCTATCTTGACAGTAGTAGTTTTGAACTCTGTTGAAACTGTTGTTTATTAAAGGTACTTTTTCCTGCGCATAAGAACTTAGCACATGTAGGATAATGTCTCACTGTTTAAACTGGAATTCCAAGTGCTGGTTCTTAGTTGTTGATGTGTTGCACATGAGATGGACAAAATGACTAATCACACTAGCACTTCTTCTACTCAAAGAAATGGGACATTCTACCACACATGAAATAAAATGGTATTTCAACTTTTTATGAATTTCCAGTTCTCTATTTGATACAGTTCTGGCATGGGAACCTTTTAAACTATCATAACTGTGAATCCAATGTGGAAATTATTTGCTGCTTTTTTGGAATGTAAATAATTTCACCAAAGCCAGAGTCATGAATTATCTTCCCAGTGTTAAGGATATACTTTAGTAGTCAAATCTGAGACTTTCCAATACAAAAGCTTTAAACATCACTAGCATCCACTGGACTTTGCTGAATGATCTCATTGAATAGAGCATTTCAGAGAACATTAATAAATTGTTCTACTGAGAGCCTACACTGTTTCCATTAAAGTGAATATCAATATCTCAGAGTTTAGAAACCTCACAGTTGCAGCCATATTGATGACAACTACATCTGAGGTCACTTCATTTCTCTCCTTAAATTAGTGAATTCTTTATCTGCTGGTTCTGTAGCCTGTACTCTTCCCATATTTAGAGAACAAATGTAATGAAATAGGGTAACCCTGAAACAATTATGAAAAATATTAGGAAAAAAAAATGCACTGTATTTATTTATATATATCTCAGTGAGGGAGCAAAAATGAGCAACCTTTCAGAAAACCAACAGAGGGTAGATGGCAAAGCAGTTGCATGGATATATAACTATTAATCAAATTAAAATGGATGTCAAAAATACTATTAGTACTAATAGTTTTGTAACTGGCCATCAATAGTAAATTCTTTCACCTCCAGGTTGAAAAGGTCAAAACAAATCTACATTCCAGGATGCAATAAACTGGCCATTTTACATCAACTAATATCTGCCCTGCATTAGGGACTGTTATACCAGTGAAGGATTTGCCCTTTGAATGAAACATTAAATCAAATTCTTTTCTGCTCTCTAGGCATTATGGATAACATGACATGACTAATAGGAGAGTAATAATGATCAGAAATCTCCAAAGACTTCTGACTTGATGTTTATCAGATGTACATAGTGGATAATGAAAGCAGTTTATAAAAACTTCAACATCAAAAAGTTTAATACAGAAAAGGAGGTGGGACGTCTTAAGGACAAACATCCCATTCTATTTCAAACATAGACTCAATCTCTAGTGAAGACATGGGCTAAACCAGGAAATTTCTAAAGCAACTGTGTGACTTTCTGCATTACTCTGGTTTTTTGACTTTCAAAATCATAATTTTTGTAATTATTTAAATATTTCTACCTAGCAGGAGGTGGAAAAAATGGTGAAAACAGATTTTAGAAACCTGAAAGTAAATTGAGTAATTTTTCATTGTAATCTAGTTCATAAACAGAAGATGAATAATTTTCCTGCGTTCCTCTGTCATATGTAGGGTTGTATAAAGTTATAAAAATGGAGCCCACAAATAAAGTTACCATTTACCAGGTTTTAATGGGGAACTCATTTCAGTCCTAAACTATAATTTTTACACATGACAAAATTTATAACATGGCTTAAAGTCTTCTAGTTTTGTTGTAAATCATTGTTAGATGCAAAAGAAAATTTTTCCAGTATGAAAAAAAAACGAAACTGTTTATATCTGTTGTATTCACATATGAGATTCTAGAAAAATGTTAGCAGAACATAATAATAAATGTCATGAAGTTTTGTTTTGCCAATTTCTTTGGTTTTGTATTTAAATCTACACTCTACTCAAAAATGAATACATCTTTACAATATGTTTTAACATTTGCTTTTCAGGTGTTTCTCCCTTTAGCTATTTCCTTCGTAGTCTCAAAGGTCTAAACTATCGTAAAATAAACTTTTATCCAGAGCATACTTACTGGAACTATTTTGATCAATCAACAAATTTCCACAATGGGAGAACTCTTAGAGGAGATTGGCAATGACCACTCTCAGGGCAAGCTCAGGGAAGAACATGACTCATCAGTGACTGAGTGTTGCTGAAAGGAAAAGAAAGCTGAATTTATCTGAATACACAGAGGACCAGAGTAGCCTTTGTTTTAGATAAAAAACAACATTAGTGGATCAGGTGACTACATCAGTTAAGTGGATCAACTGGTTGTTTAAATAGACTTCCTTCAGTTGATCAGTAAAGATACTGTCTTTATGAATAAGCCAGACCGGGGGTTCTGGACCATCTAGTCCAGCTCCCCGCTACATCAGGGTCATGTAGAAACCACGACCATGCCCATTGACTTCCGAATATCTCCAAGGCTGGAGACTCCACCGCCTCCCTGGGACACTAATACCAGTACTCAGTCAACCTCACAGTAAAAAAGTGTTTCCTAATGCTCATATAGAACCCTGTTGTGCTTCAGTTTATGCCCATTGCCTTTGGTCCTCTAACTGAGCATCAGTGAAAA